AAATGATTTGGATGAGGAATCCAAGGGGAGTCCCAAACATCAATGGAGCATCCATTACCAACATGGTACCTAATTCCCAACTTTAAGGAAGGTCTGTCTTGAAGCCAGCTCTTCCAAAGCCAGGAGTCTCCACCCTTAGGTTTCACATCAAAGATTTTTTTATTATAAAAATATTTGCCCTTAAGGACCCTACTCACCAAAAGATTGGGTTTAGTAATGATCCTCCATAACTGTTTAGTTATAAGAGTGTCATTAAAAACCTGAAAATTTTTAAATCCCATCCCTCCCCTATCCTTAGGCTTTGATAACAAATCCCACCCACACCAATGAGCCCTATTACCCCCAGTCTCAGAAATTCCCCACCAAAAATTGGATATCACCCTACAAATATGCTGATAAACAGATATGGGGAGTCTAAAGCAAGACATGACATAAGTTGGCAGGGCTTCTAAGATAGATCTAACAAGAGTTTCCCTCCCAGCCTCACTTAAAAAGCAGTTTTTCCACCCCTGCACTCTGTTAACAACATAATCAGTGACAAATTGAAATGTTTCTTTTTTAGATTTGCCAATGCCCAAAGGTAACCCCAGATACTTAGAAGTTTTCACTCTAGAAATCCCATTCAAGACACCACATATATCATTTTGCAGATCCACAGAAGCATTCTTAGAAAAGAAAATGGAAGATTTATCAATATTAACAAATTGGCCAGATGCCTCACCATAATCTCTAAGAATTTGCAGAATAGTATGAGCATGATGAAGGTCATCTTTACAAAACACAATAGAATCATCAGCAAAGAATAAGTGGAAAATCATCAGCTTTACAAAACACAATTGAATACACACTTTGAATTGTTAAATGTAACTTCTTATATCTATTTACTATATAATTAGCAATAATGCTAAGGAGCCAATTGTTGGCTCCATTACGGAGCTAACAACCAATTATACAGCTCCATGTGGGGCTGTCCCACATGACTCTAATGTGGGACAACCCCACATGGAGCTGTCTCATTGGCTGTTGGCTCCATTAGGGAGCCAACAGTTGGCTCCCTAGCATTACTAATTTAATTAGACAACTCATTTTCTATTTTTTGGAAAGTTAGAGGTGGACCCTACAATACTCAAAGTATAGCTTGCATGTTGATCCGTGAGTAGTGGTACATTTGAATTTTTTAGTTTTCAAATATTTCACTTTATTCTACTTTAACTTAAATGGTATTTTAGTGTTTTTAATGTTTTAAAATAGACTATCTTGGTGATCCCTCAATATAATAGACAATCAAAATTCATGAATCTTCAATTCATTGTGTTTTTTTAAAAATAAAATAATTACTAATGAAAAATAATTATATTGAGAGACATTAATAATTACAATTACTAATGAAAAAAAATAAAACTCTTCACTTGGGCGTTCATTCATATGACTGAATTGTTGTTCCTGCATAAAATAAAAATTAACAGTTTCTAATTATCAAACAAAAGACTTATAAATAATAGTAATAGTTATAAAGTACAACAATATATAATAAATATAAATAAAAATGATAATGAACAACATGAATTGAATCGCAAATTTCAGCAGTTAAATAATAAATAATAGAATGATGATGATGATGATGATGATGATGATGATGATGATGATGATGATGATAATAATAATAATAATAATAATAATAATAATAATAATAATAATAATAATAATAATAATAAGAATAATATTAATAATGATAATAATATTAGTAATAATAAGTATATAGTAATACTAATGCTAATAGTATATATCGTGTTCAGATATTAATATGATTTTCTACCTAAACCGCGTTAGTTTAATTTTAAAATATATGAACAAATACTAATAAACAATAAATGATAAATGTATGTAGTAGAAAATGAAATAAAAAAATATTCTATAAACATGTAATTTATTTATTTATTATGAAGAATGAAAAATGTTTGTGTGTTACATGTTTTTAAAATATTATATATTTAATTTCACTACTGTTAGATTTAATATTTGTACACAAAATTTAAGATAATTTTTTTTTTTTATAAAACTCATGCAAGAAGCATACAAACACTTATAATTATTTTAATCTATAAAGTATAAATTTGAAAATTAGATAAATAATTTAAACTACAATATTTAATAATAATAATATAGTGATAGTGATAGTAATAATATATATCGTGTTCAGATATTAAGTTTCACCAACGTGTTCATTCGTATTACAGTAAGTGGTTCAACAGTTAAGCATTCTATTGTGCAGTTAAGGACTTGCGTACCCAACACTTTCTATCGTGTGGGACACTTAAGAAGTCATGTTATACTATTGTAGTTGTAGTGGGATTAAGTATTGAGTATTATTCTACAAAAATGTTATTTATCTATTTATTATGAAAAAAAAAAGAAGAATAAAGAATGTCTGTGTGTTACATGTTTTTAAAATATTTTATATTTTATAACTAATTTCATACTATTAGATTAATATTTATACACAAAATTTAAGATAAAAAAATTATAAAATTCAGGCAAGAAGCATACGAACACTTATAATTATCTTAATTTATAAATTATAAATTATAAAAATTAGATAAATAATTTAAATTAAAATATTTAAAAATAATATTATAGTACTAGTAAAACTAATAGTATATATCGTGTCCAGATATTATATTAAGATATTAATTAAGATATTAATATTAATTAAGATATTAATTAATATTAATATTATTAATATTAATATTAATATATATTAAGAAGATAAGAAGATATTAAGAAGATTAACGTACGTCGTTGGCCAGTTATGAAGTACTCGCACGGGCAGTTAAGGAGTTAAGGAGTACTCCACTTTATCGTGCAGTTAAGGGACTACTCAACACTCTTTATCGTGTTGGACAATTAAGAAGTCAGTTTTTAATATTATAGTGGGATGAAGTATTGAGTATTATTCAGTCATTATAAATAAATAAATCTATTCCAGAATCAGTATATCGCACCTTCACTTCAAAACACACACGCAAAGGAAAAATAATGCCATTCACTCTCCTTAAGAATGTGAACATGGACAAGACTGAATGGAACATCAAGGTTCGTGTGCTACGGGCATACAACATTTGGGGATCGCTCTACAATTTTGGGTCTTGAATTAATACTTCATGATTCTGAGGTAAATCGATTTCAATATTCACATTGAATATAATAATACTTTTTCCCTTATAATTAATTTTTTTATAATTGTTTTTTTTTTTTTTTTGTTAATTTAAGGGGTACCGTATTCATGCTTCTATCAAGAAGTTTCATATGGAGCTTTTTAGGCGCCATATGAAGGAAGGAAGTGTTATTGCAATCAGGGACTTTATTGTAGCTCCAAACGGTCGTAGGTATAAGACAACAATAGGAAGGTACAAAATTGCTTTTCATGGCCGCACTTGGGTGGTGAAAGTCTCAGACAACAGGTTTCCAAAATTCATCTACAATTTCACGAGCTTTTCTGAGTTGGCTAAAGGAACCTTTTTCAACCCTATGCTCATCGATACAATTTTTATCCATTGGTACTTTAATAAATCTTTAATCTTTATTGTAATAAATGTTTTAATATTTGTTGTACTATTTGTAGATGTTATTGGACGAGTCGTCGGTATAAACAAACTGCAGACAAGGACTTTTGACAACAGAACAACACGTTTTGCCGAAATAACTTTGGAGGACGTCGAGTAATTTTATATATCTTTAACAATAAAATGTTCCTCTTTTGCAGTTGTTTTCATTTCAATTTTGATATAACAATAACAATACATAACAATACAATGTTTTTATTTCGTAAGTTGTTTTTCATTTAAATTATAATTTATTTTAATTTTTCTATCTCATTTTTATTTATTGGTTTTATTTTATATTTTGCAGTCGAAACAGACTATCTTGCACACTGTGGGAAGAAAAGGTTGATGAAATAATGCCTTCCATACTAAACCGTGATATCGAACCTCTTGTGGTTATTTTACAGTTTTGTCGTGCCAAAGTTGTTGGAGGTAAATTTAATACTACTAATTTGTTTTTATTTACTTTATATTTAATAAATTTTAATTCTTAATAAAAGTTTGATTCTTTTTTTTTTTAACTATTTGCAGCATCAGTGAAGGTTTCAAACACGTTTGATATCACAATGTTAATTGTTGATCAGTCTGCAGATGGGATAAAAGAGTTTGTTACAGCGTTACACAATTCACATATCATTTATTATTTATTATTGATGACAATATATGAATAATTTCATTTTTATTTTAATCGGTTATTGTGTACTGTCTTTTTTATATTTTATATTTTTTACAAAATGTTGAAGTTATGGAGGTTGTGCTGAAATTGCGAGTTCAATACGAGAAGTCAATGCTCCGCTGGTTATCACTGACAATGTGGAAACAGAAAACAACATTGAATTTTCAGTCAAGACTATCGACTACCTTTACATGTGTGGTCAAGTAAGTAAACAAAAAAATTATTATATATATACATATATTTTGTAAATATACTGATAACACATACATGTTGGTAGCTATTGGATCTTCGCGCTCATTGAGTCGTTCACTGGTGACTACTGGTACCAATCATGTCGCAAATGTCCCAAAAAATTAACATCAGCCGGGAAAAGATTTTATTGTGAAAAATGTGACGACTTTTTTGACGATGGTGTTTTGAAGTAAGTTTTAAATTAATTTTTATAAATTTAGTAAATTTATTTTTGTAAAATAATATAATTAAATAATATTTATTATTAGTTCTTAAATAATTGTTGTCCTTATAGGTACAAGGTTCAATTTGAAGTGAGTGATGCAACAGAGAACACGTCTTTTATTTGTTGGAATAAAGATTGTGAAAAATTGCTTGGCTATCCGTGTCATGAATTGCGTTCCAAATACACAAAGGTACATTAAATATTAAATTATATTAAGTTATACAGTAACTATAATTGCAGTACAATTATTATTTTTATCTTCCAGATGCAAGATGGAATCGATATCCCTGATGAGCTGGCAGCAATGATAGGCAAAAAAATACTGTTCAAGGTTCAGGTGAAGTCAAATCAAATAAAGAATTTTGATGGTTCTTTTTCAGTTTTCAAAACTTGCGATGATGCTGAAGCTATTGGGAAGTATGGAACTTTTCTTATTGAAAGTCAGGTAACAATTGTTATATTTTTTATTTAAATTAGTATTTAACATAATATATTTGATATTTAATATAATAGATAATAATTTATACATATCCGTTATTTTCATGATTTATGCGTATCATCATTTGTTTACAGGAATCAGATTTGATATCCAAAATGGTGCGGGCGGAAGTAGAAAAGGAGCTTGACTACGTATGTTTATTTAACTATTTTAAATTATCTCACATTCTTATTATTCCTTTCTTTTACAATTAAATAAGTAATTATCTATCGCAATTTACTAGGGAGTGGATGAGAATGACGAAGACAACAAGTATGAGGATTAGGATGAAGTCAATTCACCCAATAAGGAGCTCAACGATAAAAAAGACGCAACGCCTTTGAAGTACTACTGCAAAAGAAACTTGTTTGGAGAATCAAGTTCAACAACACAAAAAAAAAAGGGAAAGTTACATGATGCTGAAAAATCAGTTGAAGGAGAGAATGAAGTTAAGGGAAAATCTGTTGAAGGCCGAGAGAATGAAGTTGTTGATGATGAAAACTCCGATATGAAAGACGTTGAAGTAGCTATTGTGTTTGGGATTCTGTTTAATTTTAATTTCGTAACTGATTATTAATCTATGTTTTATTTTTCATTTTAAGTAATCTAGGACGTGGTTTGTTTCAATTTGAACTTTAAGTAATCTAGGACTTGGTTTGTTTGAATTTAAGTAATGTAGGACTTTGTTTGTTTCTACTTGTATTGAAATGGTATTAGTATTTGGTATTAGTATATCGGTTGTCCTCTCTTTATTTATTCTCGAATCAATTTTTTTACTCCACAAATTTTTATTAGTAATTGTAATTATAAATTTTTATATTATATATCTAGCCATAAATATATATACACATTAATTTAATAGATTAATTTAATCATAGTCATATCCTTTGTATTGATCAAACTTATTGTAGATTATTGTAGATAATGAAACAAAAAAAATTCTACAACGTTCTCTATTTATTTATTATAAAGAATGAAGAATATTATGAACAATGTTTGTGTGTAATTCATTATGTATATTTTTCAAATATTTCATATCTAATTTCACTATTCTTAGATATAATTCATATGTAGAAAATTTAAGATCAAACAACTTATAAACTTTAGAAAATTGTTTAAAAAAATTAATAAGTAAATATTGGAAATTTAATCGTATAATAATAATAATAATAATAATAATAATAATAATAATAATAATAATAATAATAATAATAATAATAATAATAATAAAATTTTGTAATTTTTTATAAATTAATTGTAGATCTGCAAGTTAGAATAGTTATATAATATCATAAAGCAACATAATTGGAAAAAAAAAATATTTCAATAAAATAAAGAATTTCACTGGTACCAATCATGTCGCAAATGTCCCACAAAATTAACTTCAGCCGGGAAAGATTTTATCTATATCTATATAAAAGTGTTGTTGGAAAAATACTTAAATAGAAAGTTTGACTTTTTAATTAAATAATTTGACTTCCTATTTAAGGAAGTATTTTAAAAAACACGTGACTCATCTATTTAGGATTGTTTGTTTGTAGTTTTAGTAAAAAAAANNAAAAAAAAAAAAAAAAAGATATTGTTAGAACTTTCCTATTTACTTGCTATGTTTTAGGAATTCATTTTTTCTATGTTATATATATGTATTAGATTATGTGTCTTTATATGATTCATTGCCGGTCCACTTTTTAAATGATAAATACGTGTACTAATAATGTTAAAATTTAAATACAGTATGGGATTCCGATTGTCCTATTTACTTACAATATTTTTTGTATCCATTTTTCTTATTATTATTATTATTATTATTATATATATATATATATTCTTTTTATGATTCTTATGAAGCGTTTGAAAAATGACAAACATGTGAATATTTTTCAATTTAATATAGGCAATATCTAACGTGATTTTTTGTCCAATTATTTCCCATTATTTTTTCGCATGTACGTACAAATATATTCAATTTTATAATACTAAATAAATTTCATACTTTTTATGATCGGGTATGACTGATGTCGGATATTTTTTTTTTAGGATTGTACAAAATTAGCATATTTGAAAAACCACATATAAATTTGTGTCCTAATAAAAATAATTGTCATAAAAATACTATTAATATTTATTAAAAACAATAATCAAATTATGCCCATGTGTTGTAAATTTTGCATTCCATTTGATAGTACAAATTTTTATATAAATAAAGTAATAACAATTTTAAAAATTATTTTGTGACCATTATCGCTATAATAATTCGATTTTTCACATTAAGTGAGAATCATTGAAATTTCTTATTCTTTCTACAACCAACAATACCACAAGTCTTTAACGAAATGTCTATTAAATATGTTTTGTTATTAGAAAATATAATTTGAATATGCACGATTAATTGTAAATATAATTACAAAATAAAAAAATTAATTTCAAATTTGATATAACTACCATAATATTACAATACCATTGATATCTCAACATTGATAACAAGTTCCTTTAATTTTTATTCAATGGATAACAAGACATATACCAAAAATTATTTATTCAAGGATTTCAAAATAACCTTTGATTTTATCAATAATTACAACAAACCAGTTTTTCAAAATTCATATTATGATTCACAATATCATAACGAAACTCATAAAAATTAATAGATTATAAAGAAAATTCAAAATATTATATATACATTATTATAAATTATAAGAAAAAAATAATATTAACGTAATTAAAAATATGAAAATTTTAACTTCAAAATGATATACATTACTATCTTTTTCAATGAGGGTTGACCATAATATTTGTCATAATTTTTAGCTTTAGTATAACTTATTTAAAAATTGAAATAATATATTTGATAATGTCGTAATATGTTAAAGATTCATTATCCTTAATTATAAACAGGAAATAAAAAAGGCAAAATTGCGGCTAATATCATGACCTTTATCGAGATTGCAAATTAATCACAACCTTTTAACTTTTGCATAATATATCACGTCCTTCAATTCTTTGCAAAACGATACATGCGCTGCCCCAACTCGTCTGACGTGGCACTCAAAATGCCAACGCACCTGCTGATGTGTATTTAACAGACGATTTCTTTTGCATAATTAATCACAACCTTTTAACTTTTGCATAATATATCACGCCCTTAAATTTTTTGCAAAACGATACATGGTTTAACATATGGTTTTTTTTCATCTTATCCCTGGACGAGATGAGGGGGAGATTTTGGAACCCTTGGGGATATATTAGGCTAGGGCTGGAGAGAAAACAAATTATTGAGACTTTTATCTTTTTTTCTTTTTTCATCTCAAAACTCATTCTCTCAACAACTTTCACTTGGTTTGCTTTGGATTTTGCTTGAATTCGAGTTTTGGAGATTGTGGCACTCCATAACGAACACGGCTTGATTTGTAATTCGATTTTATTCTCGACTTGGATTAATAATAATTTCCTTTCATTTGATTATGGAAGTGATTTATTATGTTGAATTTTTTGTTGGGATTGATATCAATATGTGTGGCTAAATCGCTTCGTTAGGGATAGGGGATATTTGTTTTGGTTCGATTGAGATTCGTGTGTACGTGTTTGTCGTTCAATCTATTCGAGTTGTGCTTAATCTAGGTTAGATGTTTGATCATCATTTTAATCTAGTTAATCAATTTGTAGAACCGGAAGGGGAGAAATTGATTGATCTCAGCTCGTTTAGAATAGGCTTGTTCGTTAATAGATTGTCTATATGTTATAATTGATCGTTACGAAGAGTTATTGAGAACAAGCCTCTAAACGAGTATGTTATTTGATCTATTAACCGAGCGGTTGCGTGCTAATTGATTGCTTGAGAACCATAAGCGAATATCTCCGACTCCCTAACTCACCAATCATTATTTGAACTCTATTTGGAATTTGAAGTGTGTCATGCTTTATTTTTAGAATTTGTAGTTGACAATCAAAACAAAAAACAATTGAATTAGAGTGTTTCGGATTTGTTTTCTCTTTTCGTGTGATTGAATACACGTGCAAAGTAATTCGGCTAACCTTCCTTGAGAGGCTACCCGGTGTTTGAATCTTTTCATGTTTCAAAATCTCCAGCTCTAGCCTCATATATCCCCAAGGGTTCCAAATCATCTGTTAAATACACGTCATACGAGTTGGGGCAGCAGATGAAAACGTGTATCGTTTTGCAAAAAAATTTAAGGGCGTGATATATTATGCAAAAGTTAAAAGGTTGTGATTAATTATGCAAAAAAATCATCTGTTAAATACACATCAGCAGGTGCGTTGGCATTTTGAGTGTCACGTCAGACGAGTTGGGGCAGCGCATGTATCGTTTTGCAAAGAATTGAAGATCGTGATATATTATGCAAAAGTTAAAAGGTTGTGATTAATTTGCAATCTCGGTAAAGGTCATGATATTAGCCGCAATTTTGCCAATAAAAAATGACAACTACTTTATAACAAGTGAAATAAACATATAAATTGTATATTAAATTATTATATATCATCAAATAAAAACAATAATATTAATATACAAACTATTTTTATATTAATCAATATTCTTTTATTTCTTTAATATATGCAATTTATAACGATTTCTCGTG